GAGGGAAAAGGATGTTATTTCAAGGCCTGATCCCAAGGCCAGGGGGGTCAAGTGCTTCAACTGTCTCCCTACTGTGCCTGCTATTAATAACTGTCTTACTACAATACTGGCTTAGAAAAGTAACTATAGAAGAACGTCGAAAAAAATGACCTCCTGCTGTAGAACAGGGATTCTGAATAAAAGATGTTCTCATCGGGAAGAATCACACAGATGAGACAATGCAGGCGCCAAAATACTTTAGGACTGAGACAGCTGGCAGCAGGAAGCCATTTCATGCTGTCAGGGTCTCTGGTGAGGGCCTTTGATCAGGACCTCATCTGGGCCTGCCCAGGCAGGCTGTCTCACAGGCTAGAGATAAAAGTTACATATAAACCAGTTTAAGTGATCAGAAACTGGTTTAAACCTGTAACAAAACAAACATTCAGTGCACATAAACCAGTTTCAAAATGGTCGAACCCGGTTTGAGATAAACCTGGTTGAACATAGTATCAGACTTAACTGACTGAGCTCAAACTGGTTTATGCAACTTCTGTCCCAGACATTTCCTGGTTTAAGTTAAACCAGAGTCCCCCAGCATCCCAGCATGCTCTCTGGGCTATGCTCTCTGCTGCAACCCAGCAGGGCTGGCCCCATCCCTCTGCTCCTCAGCTGGAGCAGGGGCAGGCAGGGACAGGGGGCTGGTCAGATGCTAGCCCCAGAAGGGAACAGGGAAAAGGTTTATTCCCCCCACTCCCTCCCCTGTCCCACTGGCGCGGACCTGCATTTCTCTGCTGGTTGCTCCAGTAGCAGGGCCATGTCCATCCCCGGCAGTAGCCTGGAGTGAACTGGCCAGGGAGGGGTTTTAATTCCCCCTTCCCTGTCTCACTGGCACAGACCTGGGCCAGGGTCTGCTGGGCAGTTCCCCCCTTGCTGCTGCAGCAGAGGGACTGGGGCATGGCCAAATGCTGGCAGGCATGGCCCCTGAGGCAGAGGGGACAGCCCCTCTATCCCCACTACCACTGGGGGACTGCAGCCAAGGTCTGCCTACCCCAAGCACCACTGCTGCCACTCGTTCCCTGCACAGGGCAGGCGGCAGGATAAGCCACCTCCTGCCCCCTATGCCAGATACTGGAGGGAGGGGGGAATAACCTCCCTCCCTGCCCCCTCGCCTAAGTGGCCTTGCCAGCCGGCCTCTGGGACAGCAGCCCCTGTCCTGGTGCCCAGGAATCACGAGCTTCTTCCCAGTGAGGGAGCTGTTGTGGACTGCGTGGGGCAAATGGCAGCACCAGTTCAATCTAGGCAAGTGAGATTAACCTGCAAAGATTGAATCAATTCAGGCTCTGGCTTTTTGAATGTCTGTCCCTAGCCACAGACTCCAAGCATCATGAACAGCGCATGCCTCCAGCAGCTGGGGGGGGCACGGCTGCGCTGGTGGTGGCAGGAGCTCAGTGGCGGGAGCCCAGCAGCAGCATAGCTCCCAGAGACGCTGCTGGCACTGTTGGCAGCAGGGGGTGGCAGCCGGGGGGCGAGCGCCCCCCGGCAGGGTCCACTGGCAGCAGCGGCCAGGGGCGATCGTGGACTGCCCACAGGCGCCGCCAGCAGTGCCAGTGGGAGGGTGGTGAACAGTGACCTTCCACAGGCACTGCCGACAATGTCAGCGGCACCTTTTTGCAGGGGGTGCACCGCCACGCTCAGGGGGTGCATGTGCACCCACGTGCACCCCCTACATGTCACCCCTGCCAAGCACTACAATACATTCATATCAGGACCACATTAACTCAGTAGGGAATCCAGGCCCAGCCCTATGTCCCTAGTTCCCAGGGGCGTACGAGCACATCAGAATGGCAGCTTTCACTTGAGAAAAAAAAATGTTTTGTGTTGATTTCCAGCTGATACAGGAGTGAAGAAGGGCTTGAAAACATGACTAGACTGTAGCTGCTGCTGTGTTGACATCTGTCTGCATCAGCAGACAGCTGGAAACAGCCCAGGGAGAGTTGTCCTGTGCTCGTCATTGGCATGCAACTCCAAGCCCTTCTGCCAGCCAGCACAGCTCAAGGAGAGGCTTCTGTGTGAAGTGGAGCAGTGGAGCCCATTCACTTGTACAGATACACCCCTGCCAGCAGAGGAAGTACTGGCCCTGCACTGGGATGCCTGAGAAGGGGGAATCCAATAATTTATTCCTGTATTGAGGTAGCACATCTTTGTGGGGTGTCCCAGATTATCTCTCAAAGACAATGCTCCTTGCTAGCTGTTGAACAACTGGAGAGCAGTGGGGCTTTAGGAATAATCTGGTTATGCCCTCTGACAGGAAAGGTCACTGTGCTAGCTGAGCTACTGGAGGTGGGTAGAGTGCACCAGACATGACCCACAGTGTCCTCTTCCGCCTGACCTGGGAGCTGAGCAGGGCAGGTTCTGAGCAGCAGCCTTTTTATGCTTTACCCTTGGAGGGTACAGGTGGTCTGGGGGTCATGGCTACAGCTCCTGGGAAGTGAGGTGCAACCTGACTGCTCATACAGGAGTCAGCAGCCTGTGTTGTGTGTGTCATACACACTGCTACATCTGCAGAAAGTGCCCTGGGGCCAACAGCGGCCACACGCCAAGGCCTAGCTCCCCTTCTTCCTCAAAAAGATGGTAGATCCTGCAGCTGTTCCCTGTGCACCGCACTGGGCCCTTCTAAATCACTCTGAACCAACAAGGCAGATCACTACCTGCTGATGTACCTGTATGTCTTCCTGCAGCACTGCCTGTTACCTAGTGGCTTCCCAGACAAGTACCAACTCAGGCTCTCTCTGTTTTCTTCTCAGCACAGGAAAGCAGTTAACTTCATGCACATGCTCCCATGCGGGAAGTGGATGCGAGTAGCATTGAGGAAGTGTGTGAGGCTAATTTGTGGCATGTCTTCTAAAAAAGTTGGGCTCACTGACTATACAGATCCATGTGTTTTTGGACTATTGTGTCTAAGCAGAGAGGAAGGGGGATTTAATTCCTGCCCTAGGGCTGTGTTTAGTGCAGTGCCCACTGCAAAAATGGCCATCTTCCCAAGAGAGAACGAATCTGAAGCCTCACAAGATCAGATCACAAGCTGCCTTTTCTTTACAGGGCTGCAGTCATTAAAGCCTTTTGCTCACTTTGCACTGTCTCCAGATGATATATGAGGAACAGGAATTGCCAGACAAACTGACTAATAATCATCCCTGTACTCTGATCTCTTATCACCAGCAGTGACTAATGCCAGATGCTCCAGAGGAAGATGTAAGAGTGTAAAATGGACCCAACTCTGAAATCCCATCCTACGTAATACACAGTTAGCCTGCACTAAACTTCGCCTCCAGTGAGTTCTACAGGATAATGATGGAGAGGGCTTCAGGTAAGCAGTTCTAACCGTGCTGCCTTTCAAATCTGTCGCTTTTTGATTGCAGCATGCAATCACAGCCTTCTTCATCAAGGGAGGCAGCAAAGAATCTTTCACAGAGGGAAGGCGCCTTTGGGTTTCCAACCTGCCTGGAAAATCCAGGCTGAAGCACCCTGGCTGGATGCATATTACTCAGAAAGACATGTCAGTGGCTTCTTAAAAAAACAAAAGCCAAGAATACCTGTTCTAGTAGAAGTTTTTATAAAACTGCCTTTAGAAAAATCAATGACCAGCTACTGTCCATTGTGGTTCAAATAACTTGGCACACCCCACCCTTTACCCTTATATTCTGACACCAATTAATACTGAGGTAAACATCAATTGATGCATCTGTGAAAAATATCTTGCAACTCACACTCTATCCGAGGGAGCCACATTGGATAAACTGTTCAGAGGCTAGAACCCAAGTGGCAGTGGTGAAACAGGGATGTTGGTTGTAGCTGTGTTGGTCTAAGCGCATAGGCAGACAAAACTCTTTGGGTAGAGGTGATATCTTATGCACATACATGTGCAAGCAAGTCATGGTGTGTGCAAAGCAGTGCATCTGTGAGGGCAGTATGCAGTGCCGTGGCAAGAAAGTTTGGCGCCCAGGGCAAAGCCTGCAGCAGTAGCCCACCCTTGCCCCGCACACAGATCCGGGGGGTGCATGCCCCCCAATGCTTGCCTGGGAGTGCACACAGTGCTGGGAGCCATTCTCTCCCCATCCTCACACCCCCCTGCAAACGAGCTGTTTGCTGCTCTGTCCTGCACCCACCCTCCTCCCCCACCAGCTGGGCAGTGCCTGTTGGTGCCTCTTAACTTTGGTGCCTGGGGTGGTTGCTCCACTCACACCCCCTCCTTGCTACAGCACTGGCAATATAAATAAATGCATATTGCAGGGAGACACATGTGCCAGTAGGTGGCTGAAAAAAGAAAACTACCTTTGTACGTGCAGGGCCCTGCATGTTTAAGCACCAAATTTTCTATGCCAGTGACCATTTTGTGCAAAGCGATGCACATTTCCCTCAGACACTTGGAAAGAAGCATGTTGTGCAACTGGAGCTTAGTACCCAGATCCTGGTCCTGGGCAGTGACCACAGAATGACCAAAGAGAAGAAGCGTAGGAGCGAGGGCATAAGTAGGAGAAGAGAAGGTATCTGTACTGCTGCTTCTGTTTGAAGCTGGAAAGTGCTGAGCAACTGAAGGCTAATGCACAGAAGTATCGCAACGTCTCCAGTTCAGGGGGCTGAACGCCACAGCAGGTGTGTGCCTTGTAGATGTGAATGGCAAAGCAGGTTCACAGAGACTACATAAGGGGCTGGCACAGACAGGGAAGCGGTATGGACACTGATAACACCTGGCATTTGAAACCTTTTTTTCAGGTTTAAATCTCACCCAAGTCAGTTCAGTCCTCTTCTGTGGATCTGGTTTCATATTGAAGTCACACCTTAAAACCTAGGCCTGGGGTGGACACCCAAGAACACAGAGCTCTTTTCTTGAGTGCAGGGACTTATACCCATATGCTTGCCTAACAATGCCTTTCAAACCACTATTGTGCAGTCTGTTGGGTGAAAACCATGGTGTGATGTTACCACATTCTACCCTACAACTGGCTGCATTTGGTGAGGCATATGCGTGTGTGTGTGGGGGTGTATGGGTGTACCCCACAACTAGTTGCATTTTGCTCTGTGTGAGTTTGTGTGCACTCTGCAGCATGGTTTGGGAAGACTGCATTTTTTCTTAATAATAAAAATACCAAAGTGTTTTGAATCTCAAAATTTGAATCTTGGGTGCAGGCTGCAGCCAGTTCTGATTTTGTACCCTCCATACGAAGAAGAAGCAGAAGAGGTGATATGCTTGCCTGTTACTGCAGCTGGAGAGACCAGCTGAGTGAGCAGGATGCTGTTCCCTTGGCACTTGCTCCCTCCTTTACCCCAGTCTCAGCAGAAGCTTCCCTTTGCGAGTGAGAGGTAGAGAGAGCTAGTGAAGGAGGAGTCCATTGGCACAGACAGCAGTTCTGGGTGCTCAGCACCTTTTAGGATTTGTTGTTTATTTGTGTACTGTGCCAAAGGAAGGATGTTTGGGAAGGATTCCATTAAAAATCCGGTGCCTCGCACCTGGTGTGAGCCATTGTCTGCCCCAGAAAATTTTGCTCCCTTCTCTCACATGATGATGAAGGGAAGGGGAAGATTTTGTGCCAATGGCAGGAGGTTTTCCTCTCCCAAACCCCTGCTCCAGCATGCTGGGACCCTTCCAGTCCCAGCTTTTCCTCCAGAGTACAGCCCAGAGAACATGGCTCACAGATAAGTGTGTTGGACAGACAAGCACATGGCAGGTTGCTGGGATGGGACAGGGAAGAGAGAGTTTAGGATTCTGTACTTACGGTCACACTCTTGGGATCAAAGGCCGGTTCTTTGGGTGGCTCTGGTACTGCCGGGGCTGCTGGGGCGGCAGCAGCAGGCTTGGCTGCCTCTTTCTTTGCATCTGGTTTCTTGGGGGGCATGTTTCTGGATTCTTGGCAAAGGCGCTTGGACCAATCTTCACCCCCACCAAGGCAGCAGGCTGAGGGACGAAAACCAAAGCCTACTCCCTGCCTTATATACCAGCCCAGTGCTCACACCAGAGGGGCAGGCCAACTGCAAGAGCAACTGCTACTTACTATAAAAGGAAGAAACTAAGGGGCCCCGCACAACAATGGCCCATTGTCATCAGCTCCGAGCTCAGAGAACCAAGCTCCCAGCACACCCCAATAGAGAGGGGGCTCCAGGCACTTGGGTTGGGGTGGGCTGGAGCAGCTTGCAAAAAGACCCTTGAAAAACAAAATACAAATGGCCCAGAGTGACTGGCAGAAAAATAGCAACCCAGTGGCTGACAAACCTGCCACAATACCCAGGGGAAAAGTGTGTCTTTTTATAGGCAAGGCTGCAAGTGCAAATACTGCAGATTCCTTTTCAGACTGGGATTTACTATCTGCCACTTCACAGCCGCTCGGTGAAATATTTGATCCTAGTCCCTTTGACTCTTTCTTTTGCAGATGAAGCTTTTAAATATCCCCTGTGGCCCAGAAAGTTATGTATCTTTTTCTGGGCCTCCTCTCATGCCTGCCAGGGGCAGGGAGATTCCAGCTGGCTGGGGTAGCTGCTGATGGGGCTGGGCTTGCTCAGAAAGACATTCCTGTCACTCTGCAGGGCACTCAATAGTACATTTTCCACAGTGAAACAGAAGCAATTTCAAACTGAAAGCTGGCTCCTACCTTTTTTTCTCTGATTGCACCTGTAGAGACTCAGAGAGTTCAGGGTGCACTGAGCTAAATATTCTAAATGCAGAGAGTAAGAAACACAAAAAACTAGAACTCTTGGTTCCAAAATGGTACCTTTTATTAGATCAACTGGAAAATGGCAAAAAAATTGTCCTTTTCTGCAAGCTTTCGGGTTCAAAGTCCTTTCGTCAGGCTCTGGGAAGAGCATAGATGGTACAAGATGGTAAAAAGTCCCCATAGGTAGGAAATAAACTTCATTTTTGCAGTCCTACCTATGGGAACTTTTTACCATCTTGTACCATCTATGCTCTTCCCAGAGCCTGACGAAAGGACTTTGAACCCGAAAGCTTGCAGAAAAGGACAATTTTTTTGCCATTTTCCAGTTGATCTAATAAAAGGTACCATTTTGGAACCAAGAGTTCTAGTTTTTTGTATGTCTTTTTGTCTCAGACCAACAAGGCTACCAAGTACACCCCTGAGAGTAAGAAACAGCTCTTGTCCCAAAGAACTTACAGTTGAAATAGGCAAAGGAGGGAAGGGAGGGGGAAACAGAAAAGGCAAGTTACCCACTTACTCAGGGTGGTGCAGCTAGGAACAGAGGTTCAGTCTTCTGTGCCCTGCTGCCTTTCTTGTCTGTGGTGTCATCAGGCATTGCCACAAAGACACTCACTGATGCAGGGGAGACTTCTGAGCCAGGACTGACATGACATGTCCTGGTGACACTCGCAGGAAGTGGCAGGCTGCAAACTCTACCCACCAAGTGAGTATGGAGGAGTCAACATCTGTAGAAAAGTGTCTAAGTTGGTCCCAAGGCACAGGGAGGGAAGAGCACCCGGAAAGCTAGCAAGACTGTGTGAGGGGAAAGGGAGATGGTTTGAAGGGATGGTAAATTACAGCTCTCTGACATGTATGTTTCACCAGCTCAGACTCCTTTCCAGCTCTTTCTCTTCATGTGCTGTAGTGCAATGGATATCACCCCTATTGCAGCCCATCTAAATCCTCTGGAAACTCATGCTACATTCAGCCCTGGATTTAATGTGAAGCAGCACGTGGCTCAAAGCCTTTCCAGCCCCACCTCAGCTCTAGCCACAATCAACTCTAATAGTGCTGGCCAACTTTCTGGCATGACAACTTTTTCCAGACAGGGTTGCAGCCTGCCCAGCCTGGGGACTGATGTGGGCAGAGATTTGTTTTAATGGCTCCTGCTGGCCGACCCCTACCTGATGTGGTTAAGCCCACCCGGCAGGGCTGGCGCCAGGTATGTTGGACAGTTATGCAAATCCCATGATGTCTCTGTTTGGCTTGTCATTATCTTTGAAAGCATTTCCAGAGAGAGAGAAAATCTGGTACTGCAGAGAGAGACCTCCCTTGCTGCAGAGGTGTCCCTGAGCCCAGACCACTGCTTCAGACTGAGCTCAGGGGCTTGTGTCTACCTGTACTGAGACCAGGTCAATGAGCTTTGTGCCCAAGTGGTCTGTGGGAGTCAGGGTTGGACTCTACCCACCTTTTCAAGCCAGAGACTGTGAGGGGAATCTGTGGGTTACAGCAGCCTCCACAGTGCAGGGCTTTCAGCAGGTTGCACAGTCTTTTTCCCCCCCCCTCTGTGAGGAGTAATTCCTGTGAGCTCAGCAGACTGCTGGGAAACTCCTCTGAATTAATATTGGTCATCTCAGTGGCTCTGGCCCTTAGTGATGTGTAGAGATAATTAATGGTTACCTTGCTACCCATGCATTATCTCTGCATAGAGTAGACCAAGGCAGAGGTTGTGCTATCAGATTTCTCACTGGGGTAGCCCCACTCTGATCCCAGGCCACAGCTGTGCAGTAGCACAGCCAAGGAACTCCCTCTGCTTTCTCATGCATTCACTTCCCCCCTCCAACTACTTTGAGGCCACTAGAAGGGAATTTATGGTCCCATTCCCTACTTCACAGGGGAGGAAGAGAGGCCTCGTGGACAAGGTGACCACCTGGAAACTAAGAGACCCAGGGACCATTCCCTGCCCTGTGTGATCTTGAGCCTGTCACTTAATTTATCTGTCCACGCAACAAAGGAATAAAGTGTCAGGTATCCAGGCTGGAGCCATATTGGTCTAGAGGAAAAGGCAATCAGGACTCATAGTAGAGATGATATCTTTTATTAGAATATTAAAAAAATCTTGCAAAAATCGTGTTGTTCTAATAAAAGATATCATCTCTACTATGAGTCCTGATTACAAAGGAATACTCATTGTGGGTTCTGTTGGATCACTTGTGATCTGCAGTTCCCTTAATGCCAACATTACACTGGTATAATGGACACAAAATGAATGAATGGATCCACTCCACCCAGCCTGGGGACAAGGCCCCAGAAGTCCCCTCCAGGAGTCCAGTTACACTCTGAGTTTGTTCTGATGGCTGGAATTAATGCTTGCAACTAGATACCCTGCTGGGGAGGTGGGGGGCACTGCTGGGCAGGACTTCTGTGGGAGGGTGCAGACCTAACCCTCCCTCCCACCTGGAAAAGATTTTCCTTGCCCTGCCCCTGAAGCTGGATCAGATACTTAGACCAGTGGTTCTCAACCTCATTAGAGTCAAGACCCA